TCTGAATAGTTGAGGTAAAAAATAGTAATTTGTAAATGCGATGCAATTGAAAACGATTTCCTATTTTCAATAAGAGGATGCCATTAAGCAGAGTATGAAAGGAATTCTCATGAAGGGACAATGGATAGCAAAATAAACAGTTCATTTGCCACCCTTACGTCCCTTTTGCAGGACGCGTAAGGGGCTTCTTCGAACTTTTTCACTAGAAGACGGAGGGGAGAGTTGAGAGAGTGGTGGAGAAGGTCCACTGCTACCTTCAGGGTAAATATCTGGGTGGTCGTCAATATCCATAGTCAAGGAATCAATCTGAAGGAAAAGAAGGCTATAAGCGGAAGTAATAAACCCATTAATTAGCATAGGGAGCAGTAATGATTTTAGTAACATAACGGTAATCTACAACGTGCGTTGAATAGCTATAATTTGGCTCCGGAAGTGATCCACAAACGTTGATAGTTGAAATCAACTAACAAACAGGCTCGGTACGCTAGCGATGAAATTTTTTGCTTACAACGTCAAAATACAGAAACAGAATTATTTGCACGAAAGTACTTGCGAAAAGTAACACGGTGGCACAAATAGCCTGGGCAAGTGGCATGAGCCGAGGAAAGTGATAGAAGTGTCCGTTTTAATGTCACAAAGAACTCAGCTCGAGTTAGGAACATACGTCTGACTTGCTGCCATCATGTTTTGCAGAAGTTTGAGCGTTACTTTGGTTGTCAGATACACAAACGTTGCTCTCTATCCATTGCTTCTTCAAGATCGTCGCTTTGGTCACTTGCAAGGCCACGTCATTGAGGACAGAGTCAACCCGATTGCTCCACGAGTACAGGGCTGATTTCAAAATGGGAAGCTGAAGGCATGATAATCGGTACTCATATAAGTAACGAACGAATATTAGTAAAGTGGCATTTCGAAGTAACTTTACCACAACTATTTTTTATAATTATATACGAAAATGGCGTCAAAATCCAGGTTCTGAGAGACAGCCTAGACAAAACAAATGGCTGAAATCAAGCTCAAGCTTTATGATATACGGAGCTCACGAATCCAGTCAAAGAAAACAGGATAAGCCACAGAAATAGGCATGTTATCCTTATTAGAAAGTCCCAAATACAACAGATAAGGCTCTTCAGCATTAAATTCAGGAACGCGAATGCGTGACATGAGAAAAACATCATAAACGACAATAACTACGATGAATTACACATTGTTTAAAATCAGCGACAAACTTCACCCAAATATCTAATAGACAACGGAAACACGCACACACACGAGAAACATACATCATCGGGCCTTAGATCACGACCGATTGCCGAATCAACTACAAGCATCCTTTTTTGTTGATCTAACTTTCCAAAAAGAGCCTCCACGTAGAAGAGATCGATAATTAGATCCTCGAGCTCACGAAGAGAGGTGAGTTCCAAGGATTTTAGTAAAAAGTCATACGGTATCAGACGACGCAAGTCACACGCAGAAATAATGGTAAGTTGACGAAGTTTTCGAATTTGAGCAGGAGAGAGTTCGGGAACGAAAGCTGTCTTGTGATCCCCATAAGTACCATAACAGAAGAGGTCCAAAAGATTTCGCAACTTCGATTCTGGAGCTAGAGATTGGATTTCTGCATTGTCCCGGAGATCACTAAACACAAAAACCCCTAAAACGCGCAAACCAAACATATTAGTGGGAAAGACTGTGGCCATAAGAAAACAAAAATTGCAAAAATGTTAAATCTGAGTCGATGTTAGATTAACAAGTACTAAGATAAGGCGGGCTTATTCAAGAAAAAAAAACAACTTAAATATCGTGCAGCTTTAAGCGCTAAGAGCAGATCGAACATCGTCACAATCAAATTTACGACATAAATTGAATGGAAGCGCATAAAGCAAATGAAGCTAATAACACAATAGTGAATAGAACATATTTTGCCACATTTATGTCAAAGTAAAGCTACGTCTTTTAACACTCCTGGCAATGCTATGTGAGGCAACGAGTTTCGTTTAAAAGGATAGAGGGAAAGCAAATCTTGGATAAAAATCGTACACCAAATTGACGAATCTAACCCAAGAATAATTGATTCCCATGTCAAAAAATTTAGTATAAAAAATATGAAGGAATGAAAAATACCTGGGGATTCGGTTGCTTTACGAATGATATCCTCTGGCGCCATAACATTCAGACAATTACCACAAGCACACTATGAAAAGCCAATAAAAATAATGTGACTACAGCTTGTTAACCAATAAATGAAGCTAATTTAAAGGCATTTAAAATTCAATCATGTATCGTCATTGCAAAAAACATAAATGAAGACGCAGGGTGATTCAAGAAATATGAAGAAAGCATAACCGCTCGTCATCCCAAAGCTTTTTCGAAAAACGACCTTATTAATGGGTATCTAATAAATTAAATGTACATTATTTTTCCACATTAAAGCAGCATTACTCGGTAAATTATTCCTAAATTCCATGCAATAACTAAGAAATTTGCTTTATTTCACACAAATACTTCAAAGGTACTTATTAAGGAACAATACTTAGCTGATTTCTATTCTGCCAAAAAATTAACATTTCTTCCGCTTGTGTTACATTTGTTTCAGGAGCAAGTTTACTTCAGTAAAGGACAGCAAACGAATTAATGATAATTAGTTACCAATACAGAAATGGCAGTAAAGTTTAGATTTACCAAATTTAAAGTGAATGAAAAAGCCGACAGTGAGCATAAAAATCCACAAAAACAACCCAACTTATTAGAGCCCACCGCTCCATGCGAAACATGTGTTGTGAATCGTGTTTATTCAACTCCTTAATCCAATCGTTTCGCCTCCGATACAAGGCTTCCCTTCTCGAAGCATGGCGACAACTGCGCAAATCCTCAACCCCCCTTCATTCACACGTATATGTACCTTGGATTAACCTCACACCTAGATCTCGATGTTAGCGCATCTGTGACTCACGCATCCGAGGTATAAATACACACGCGCAAACCCGACACAACGACACCAGTCTGGTTGATCTCTGAAGTAAACGGTTGTGTCTCGTACTCTCCGGTCTTCTTCTTCATCGCGGGCATCAGGCAATCGTAATCGGGCCAGGGTTAATTCAGTGGCCCCTGCGTGGTTCAGTACCACATGCTGGGGCCCACAACACATATAAAGATTTTGGTTAAAATTATTTTTGGCTAATATGTTTTGATATATAATACAGAGAAAAGTTTGGCTGATCATTGCCACTTTCTCTTGAGTTTTTTAGAGCTCCAAGTTAGGCCGCTTTCGGGTATCAGTTTAAGGAATTGCACTAAAGTAGATCTTGAGTTCTCAAAAGCTGTCAAGCTCTTTATTTGGAGTAATTCTCTAAAGCCAATCCACTCATTTTGTTAGCATTTGCTCCAAATAAGTACACTGTTACGAAAAATCCATTTGAAATTTCATTTTTAGTCATGGAGTGCTAGGTTGCCTCTAGAAAAGGTTCTGATCAAAAATGTCTTGTCTATTTTCTATGGAACAAATTTTACTTCCAAGACTTGTAATGAACGTGATTTTTCAACCCACACCAGTCTGATATTTCCTTTAACATTTACTATTCCTCCCACCATCCTGCCTTCCTCAAGCCGCGGCCATAGGACTGAGGCCAACCCTGACCCCATCCACGGCCATCATCTCCCTATTCTCTTCATAATTTCTAGCCCTTTGACTTTATATATGGTGGTGTGGAATATATCAGGTCCGGTCTACCAGTTCTGTCGAATGTCAGGTAGGTAACCCTGTGATGCGACTTCCTCTGGGAGACAGACTGGTAGCAGCCCATACTTTTAGTTTCCCGACCAGTAGGCACGTAACACAAGTGAATTAGTCTCTTGCATCATCTTCAAAGCACCGAACTTCCTTCGTTATCAAATGTTAATTATAAAGGTCCCAGTGTACAAAAACACTGTATTCAAAAAGTTTTTGACGTGAAAGAAACACCTGAAAATACGCTAACAAGAAATCGATGCAATTTGAACATTTGTTGTCCATTGTCGTGCATTAGTGTGCACACACCACATTCCGGATTGCTTCGTAGACAATGACGGAAAAAGAGGAACAAAATTTGTCAATTTACAGGAACACGAACCGCCATTGTCAACATAAACCGCCTTTCTCAGAATTTAATAGGTTTGAAAGGTGGCGACGAGCATTCAATTTAGACGTCATCATGTCAACTAAGTAAGACGGAAAGAGGGAATGTGAGTTACCACATGATACACCAAAGGGCGTATCAAATAACAGCCCGAAGATGTTCACTTTCCCTTATGGGAATCTGTTAAATTCCACACGAAGTCGCCCGCAACTAAAGGCATTGCACAGGCAACAATGCATAAGCCTGAAATCACCCTATGCATATGAACCCCACGGAGTGTCAGAGTTTCCACACATGAGGTAAGCAAAAACGAACAATGTTCCCAGAATTTGACGAACAATGTGATAAAGCTTTCAGTAATGTTAATATTGAACCATTCGAAGGCGTTTTCCCAGGACGTGCAACGGTGCCGCAGATAGGGCCAAAATACATTGCAAACACCCAAACTTGATTGTCCGATTTAGTGTGGGAAATCGCTGATGGACAAACTTGGAAAAAGTCTCATCGCCGAAAAATTCGAAATTCATTAGAGTAGAAGGAAGTTTGGGGGGGGGGGGGTAGGTAAAATGCAAGTAGCCGTAGAAGCCAGAATTTGTATATGAATGGTACGCACTAATAGAAGTACAATTGGAACGTATTTTCAGGCAATTTTAAAAGGAAACTAAAAAACAAAGGAAAACACAAACGATAGCCCAGAGGCATAAAACGCAAGGCATTTGCAATGATGCTGGAAGAGGAATTGCGTGAGTGTTTAATGTGGTCAGTCTTAGCGCATCCGAGGTACGAAAGTGGATCCATTGGGGAGCAGCAGGACGAAGAAACGAAGGTGTTATGATTGATCACTCTGCGAAACGGGTTGAGACAATAAAGCGAATTGATTTGAATCTACTTCGACGTGTCAGCAGAGGGCGTGTCTTTGGAGCTAGCACCCTTCTTTTTGTCTTTTCCTTTGCGTGAGAACGAGGGCATCTTGAAGCGCCGTTTTTTACGACTCGCCTTAGAGCCATCAAGACTTTGCTGAAAAGGATAGATGAAACAATTATCATGTAGGTAGGCTAAACTTACTAAATAGTCGACATTTTGGTGATGATAGGTTTTGCATGATTTTATTCATGGACGTTTTAATACCCACGAGACTAATTCAAAACCGAAAGATTACTTAAATTGGACTGAAATATGAACCTTAATAACGTGAAGCAAAATGTGAATTAAAAAATGGTCATTGAAGGCATAGGTTTTTTGATCTTGTTAATAACCCTAACCAGAGACTGGTCTAAGTGAAGACAAAAATGGCTAATAAAAACGACTTACGTGCCCGACGTCAACACTAGTGTCCGAGCGGACTTCCTCATGTTCAATATCCAGTAATTTTCCATTAGCTAAAAGTAAGGTAGCGGCTTTAATGGTAGACCGAAATGAATTGGTTGGGGTTTAGGAACCGAACCAACAGTCGAGATACAAGAATCTTGTAGAGGAGACGTGACGACTGCAATTAAGCAGGCGCGAATGAGCGTTACCGGCGGTGGGTCCAATGCAAACGTCGACACCACAGTTTAGAGAAAGTGGTCTTCGCATTATTTTTAAGCAAAAATATGACACAGGATTTATGAAAAGAGCTTAGGGCATGCAAATGTAATTTGAGTTTAGTGATGAAGAACATGATTTGAAGGTGTGCGCTATAAGATGAGCACGACGATTACAGAATTAAGGTTTTTAGATTAAAAATGATATCCTGTATGAGAAGTGACAACAGATAGTGGCTTAAACATGAACATGAGGAGTGGTGATGTTATTTTTGTGCGTTGAATTGATTTTAATGGTAATGCGAAAAAGGGCACCTTGGTGATGCATCGGTGGACATTTCTGGATAAGATAGCGACGAAATGATGAGCGAAGAGGACGTCCAAATGTCACTGCCTCAGACAACGAAAAGGTCAAGTTTATGTTAGCTAACAACCATTCGCCACTTTCAATTCGTGGGAGATCCACTGTCAAGACAAGATAAACATTCGCCAAAGAGGACTCGAGCACACAATGGACGAGCAAATTATTGACCAATGGTGTTGTAAAGGGGCGAACTCAATGGACGATGTCAAGAAAATCGGATTAATGACGAAAAACTGCTAGATCAACCCTCCGTAGAGATAATTGACGGTAAAGCACGAAACATGAAAGACAAAGTTGACAAAAACCTACGCGATGAGTGAGGGACAGTGGCCTCAAGAGTAGCCCGTTTCCTGCGTTCAATTTCTTCTTCTTCTTCCTCTGTTGGTAACCCCTTGGCCTTACGTTCAACATTCCGCTTGTAGCGCTCCAGCTCATCGTCCGTCACTTGGTCGAAGGGATTTGGCGAAAATACGGACTGGAAAAGACCTACGTTGTGGCGCTGGTCGCGGTTGATTATGCCTGCGGTTAACAAACACTTGAATAAGTTTCGTTCACTGGTGGATTTGGTCAACATTTTGCAGGAAATAAAGATAATTATATTAGCCAACGGATCAATCTGATTGCAAGAATACTTCCATCTTCTCAAAACTCAGAAGACAAAACTTTATAGTCAACACACTGAGAACAAAAACATAACACTGATACGATTGAGATTTGCAGCAAATATGCCAAAAAGTGGAACAACAGACATTAGAGCTAAAAGAGACACTGTTACAGGCAGGAAAGCATTCATTGAAGTAGATCAAGCAACAAAATAACCTTTCATTACGATAATTTAGACAGTCGAATGCACACAGCAAACGTGCGACGAGCCGTAACATGTGATTACTTGTAAAGGTCAAAAAAGTTGTTCACAGGAACGTGATCATTTGCTCCGCTTAGATGTTGGACCTATCTAAGTTGGTGTCATTATTGGATGGAAATTCACAATGGCCAAGACTACGAATAGTGGAAAGTATCTGGATTCATTGAGTGGATGGTGAAGGTGGGGCAAAAGGACTCGATGAATTTCTGCCATTAGTGGTTTCCATGCCTTTGGGAACCCGGCATAGACAGCCATTGAGAAGCCTCAGAGTTAAGGGAGTAAAGAAGCTCAACCTGACGAAGACATTCAGCCATACCTTTACTGACGGCACCAACTACAACCACGTGACCAGGCTCGAGTGTCGGCGGATTTGAAGGATCCAATCTCAAAAGGGTTCCCCGAGGACTGACCACTTGCGCTGGAGATGCAGTCCCGTCTCGAACATCCCCGGGTCTTCCCTCAAGATCACCAGTACCATCATCGTCATCGAGACCGAGGCCCTCGAGGATCTTCGACTTGGGACCAGCATTACGCACGTCCTTGTAGTACTTTTCACGCACCTAGGCCACGGCAACACCAAAAAGCATCTGGCATTGTAGGGAGAAGTCAGCAAATATGCATGCACACAGGCACAACACACGCCTGAATATACGTGGGCTCTCACTTTTTCTGATACTTCATTCGTCTACATTGGTTTGGGACTGCTTAAAAGAACAACGGAAATGTATGCGAGGAACAGAGTACGAATCTACAAATGACCTGGAGTAGAAAAGAATGGGAAATTCCAAATTCTCGGGGCTATACTGTCTTCAGTTGGGTAATTCGAGAGGATAAAAATGGAAATGGAATGACCATGAACAAACAGTTAACAAATTATGTTCTTCATGACGAGTACCTTGTTTTGCATTATTGTTGTTTCAAAGGTTCATTCCATTACAACGATGTGGCTGGGTAAATACTACTAATAGTACCAATTATGAGGTCACCGTGACACTGCAGATTTAGTCCAGAAAAGCGAATATTGAATAGGATGTGAACTTCCGATTGTGTCACCAACGTTTCTCGGTCCAAATAGCGCGCGAGCTTGAAAGTTTTTTTCTTCGGACCACTCTGTGAGACTGCACGATTACAGCGACTCACCTTTTGAAGATTATGCTTGAATTCATGGGGATTCTCGCCCTGTGGAGCGAATTGGTTGGGGTCAACGCTAGCAACCAGAGTACCTCCGGTGGAGCGACAAGTTTCCTCGGTCCACTTGGTGATTTTTTTGGGGTTCGTGGTGCCGACCTCCTCGATCTCTTCTTTTTGGTAAGCATTAGGAGTGTTATGCCAGTGGGTGCGTTGGAGTGAGAGCGTCTTTGCACGATAAGCCGCGGCTTCTTTGATTCTGCGAAAAAGAAAGAACCCTTTTAAAGACAGATGGGCATTCCCTCCTGCGGGTGACATCCGACTGGGACCTGAACGAAAGATGGGCTTGCATTAGTCCACGTGGTGAGTTGAGGCCAGGAATTTTGAATTAAATTACAGAATCTATCACCTGGAAGAAAGATTTACTGTGACCCAAAGGTCACATGTTACAATCCAGAATGGCGCTTTTCCACGGACTGACTTTTTTGATCCATTCAACTATCTTCAGCCACAGGTAGGTGCTGTGACTCAGTGTGCGGGTAAAGGTGCTATGCTACTTGATAAAAAGATAAAGCACACACTAACTTGAAGTTGACTTGGCAAGTCCAGCCCTACCAGAGTTACGTTAAAGTGATGCATGCCGCGCATTATTGACTTTCGACGTTAAACGTGGATTGTCTACTGCTAGGAAAATGGAGCCTCCATGAAGCCTTATGATTTCAGCAAGTTTTACGTACCAAACATGTTACACTTAGTTAAAAGCCGCAAGGAACAATTTACTGAGTACTCAACAAACCGAAACATGGGCATTTTATTGGCGGATCAGGGAATGAAATAAACATTGGCTGTCATGGTGCAAAGTTCAGACGCATGGATTTTAAAAACTTTCATTTACAGAATACGACCCCTCAACTTGAGCAAGAATCATGCCAAGTGGACAAGATAGTCTACCTTGTGGAATCATCCTTATAGTGGTTAACAGCGAATGAACTGGCGGCAGGTGGGACCTCAATTTCTCTGAACCCTCGCCCCAAACTAGCGGCTCTCCGAGTACGCGTGGCCGGCGACAGTGGTTCTCCATCGACGCCATCTACCTCCGGAATGCACACAGCTCGCGTTCCAGGAGTCGGCTGAACCTGAGCAACTCGGTAAAGATGTCCCGTGCGATAACCAGCTGCATCCAAGCGACGCATCATCGCCTCAAATTCGAGTTCCCCCGGACGCCAATTTTTGTCCATAGCCGAACCCGAGGCACCGGTGGTGACGGGGAGGACATGGTTGTCGAAGGAACGCGGTTCTTCATTTGGAGGAGGCATTATGAGTTCATCAGTTGCTACGCAGGCCAAACGGAGCTAGTAAAAAAGTACACTAAGGCTACACGAACCGATTTCAATCAGTTATACGGGAAACTCCAAACATTTCGAAGAGTAACATAGTCAACAAACTTAAGACACACTCTCAAAACAAACTTCACAAAATAAAGTTCTATCCGAATCGACGAATAGTAGACACACACCCACTGAATGTAAAGCAGACGGCTATAAAATTGAAACCGAAGCACTCTACGAAATAATTACTTGAGATAAAAAACCTATGTGGACCTAAAAACTTCATCAAAATAAAAACAAAGTAAACAAATAACTTTAACAAAGTGAACCACAACCTAAAACGTCATTTTTACGTCTAAGCAAATGTTAAACAAGGCTAACCTGCGATTCACAAGCTGAGATGACCAGGTAAGCGCTCATCCAGGCCTCCTCAACCGACTTCCCCATTGCCATGATGCCGTATTTTCGGATAATAAGGACGCGGGGATCGCCACCAGGCGTGCTCTGCAAACACTCTCTTATGGCGGCCGCTTCCGCCGCGTTGCGCTCTTCGCCTTGCTGGTGCTGGTCGACGCATGATTGGTCGTAAGTGGCCACGGCACCAAGCATCACCGCCTCTTGACTGAGCGGTGGCAGACCAGAGTGCATGCAGGAGACCTAATGGGAAGGCAAACATTTTTACAATCATTATGGGCATCCACACGACTTATCGGTATATTCAACTCAAAAGGGGCCGTCCTCAAACTGATCTGCCAAAAATTTCTAGTACTGACCAATCGAAGAAATGGAAATTGAAAAAAAATCAACATTTAAATGGAACACATCAGTAAACGAGACCTGCGACCCTCTTGAACATGGGATGGAAAGTTCCCCCACACGCGGCATATCCACCAGACCTGGCCCCATTCAACTACCATTTTTACCAGCCAGTGCATCAGCACGCCTCAGTGAACAAACAATTCAAAAAGTTGGACGATGTGGGTAAATTTGTCGATGACTTTACTGCCTTGAAATCTGCAAGTATCTTTCGAGACAGCAGTCATATGTCACCTGAGAGATGGTGTCAGGTCATAGAAAACGATGGACAATATTTCCAAGAATAGGTTCTTTGTTCTCAATACTTATGTTTGATAAATTTGTTACGAAATCTGTACAACTTAAGTGGTACACTTAATTGACGTTAGTTTTTGCTTTTTACACTGCAATAGCCGAAATTACGCTTTTGCGAAACTATTAGAAGTTGGTGGGTGTCATAGTTGTTTGTAATTACCAGGAAGAATCATGCATTGCTGCTGTAATTGCAGAAATCACCATAACTGAGGTGTACCACTGCAATTATTCGATGAGTTGGGTCGACCAAATTCCGGAAATTAAAAAAAAACAACACAGAAAGCAGTGTAGGGACTCAGATAGGCCGAGCCAGAAAATATTAGCAGCGTCGAAAGGCTGACGCACACACACAAACATAAATAGCTTGCAGAACACATAAACACTAGCCAACTACCAAGACCTGTGGCCAAACGTGCACGTTCTCGGTGAAACGACGAGCATCGCAGTTCTTCGCATTTATTAATACACATAGCTAAAGAGGTACTAATTAAATTATCTTAAAATGTTTGGTAAAAACGTGACGAAGGATCGCAAACTATGACATTGAATTGGACTCTGGTGACCGGGAGTGAACAGAACGCCTCATCTCACCTTAAATACGTTGGACCCTCAATGAGTAATGCTGCTCGTTTAAAAAGAATGTAGCAGTGGATAGTGTGGTATTCGATGAAATCGTAATATGAAGTGGATTTACATTGACCGATGGTATCGGAGCGCCCAATGGATGAATTTTAGAACGTGAGGTTGCAGCAAACAGTCCATAAACTCAACACAAAGCCTGATAAAATCAGTGTTATAAGTAATTTACTTCAGACAGTTCAAGGTGAGGACAACCATAAGTGTTTGAGAACAGGGCAAAAGTAGCTTACAGCAATTGTCGCCGGTGTACTCAACTGGATAATACATCGCACGGCTGGCAGAGCTTCATGGATAGCAGAGTGAAGCATCCACCCCTGGCTGTCAATTCCCAGGCCATTCGAACCGCCATCGACAATATTACCTGGAACCGACACATTACAGGAACTTTAAACACAAACAATAGGCTCTGGAAACATTAAAGATAGCAGTCGGTAAAAAATCACTAGAACATTCGGCACTAATAAGGCATGACAAGCAAATGAAGTCAGTATCTGAGCGTATAGCGTTGAAGCTCATACCCTTCAGATCCACCTTCAGAAGCGATGATGCGGTGATTTCATTAAAAAGGAGTCCTTGTGGGTTGAATAGGTAAGAGTCACCGTCTTTGAAAATTTTGGCCTAAAAGAATATGGGAAAAACCAAGGTCAACATCGCTTATGCCATCTGAAAGCGCAAGGGCGACAAATGAAAAACACGAGCCTCGAGAGCACAGAACTCAAAAACGAGACCAGGAAAGCGTGTCGCTTTTGGCAAATGTGTAAAAATTGTGCCTCAGGTTAATAGGTTTTCCAGCTACAGCATTAACTTCCTGCTTAAGGACATTAAATTAAACAAACAATAAGAGGTTATTTTTGGTCGCAAACATCCCAAGGCACGCATATTTTAACAGCGAAGGAATTAAGTGGGCTGGATGACCACCGTGACGATCGAACATTATATATTTTACACAACGGTTCCTTTAACCAGGCAGCATTCACGGACATTTTACGGTCTTAAAAACGACAAATGACAGCGACTTGTGTGATTTAAGACAAGCTCAAAATAGAAAGATTTCGTTCCTCCAGATTTTACCGAAGAGTTTTGTCCTGAATGTGCCTGGAAATATCTTGGGAATTAAGAAACCCATTTGATGGTAACATAACAACACAATTAATGCACCAACCTTAAACAACACATCAGTAATATTCGTGTTCGATTCACTAACAAGATGCCAGAAAGAAGTGGCTCCCTTCCACATTATTCTTATATGGAACCGGAAGGTAACATGGGATAGTGGCTACAGTGACCTACCAAAACCCAATTAAATTACAACTTTTCGCTTTTTTAAACGGGTACATAATAATGTGCTTTAATGGATCAGTACCATAATGACAATGTCGCCGGAAGAAATGAAACTGCGGCTATTTCAGGTAAACATAGCAAAACGTTGCATACCGAAATGTGGCTTGCGGAACCTGAACCCCAACCAAATATATCAACGAGGCGAAAAGTAGATGCGACTTTGCAACGCATGATCTTTTCAGGTTTCGAATAGGTTGTCGGGTGGGAACGAAGGTCATTGATTGGAATGACTGGAACAGAGGCACCTACCAAAAGACAACATACAATTTGACGATTTCTACTAACACATATTTTTCTCAGCAATTACATTTGACTAAATTCGGAAAAATGCAATTTTGATCACCGCACCGTAGAAATCAACAAAAAACTTAAATAATCATTCATCTTCCATAATATAAATTAACATTGGGAGGTATTTTCGGCAAATCTATGAACTTGCGCTCACACATCTAGTCCATATCAGCAACAAAAATAAACCACGTGCAAATCAGGTCATCCGTATTAGTAAAGTTTCTACGATTAATAGGGATTTACGAACGGCCAAGCAAATAGTAATCTGATAATGCAAGATGAGGGACGATTTGGGGCTCAAATTATCCGCAATGCGCTAATCAATAATGTGTGAAGTCACGTACTGTTGCGGTAGAACACGATCTAATAGCAATTTGTCAATTATAACTACTTCCTAACCCACAACCATGAATAGTTAACGATTGTTTGTTGGTTAGTTCCTTAGAAGCAGCCATTAAAAAAATTCAGCACCTCTATAATCCAACCAAACTCTCGATGTTGGCATGTTTTGAGGCAATTTGGCTTCAGGTTTGGCACGCACTCGGTCACATCTCTTGAGCCACAACTAATACCGGTCAAAATTAGTGCAGACGAAGCAACTGGTCACCACAAGGGATGATTGATATCAAAAAGAGACGATTTCATCGACTTTGAGACAATATACAAATCAATTGCTGTGCAAAGTAAACTGCCTTTAATTACCTCAAAATTAAAGTAGCAACCATAGTAGGCTTACCTGAACGCTGATAAACTTTCTAAACTTTCACATTATGGTCTGATACAACGGATATTCAAAATACTAAAAAACTGTCAAATGGTATAGGAATAAACAGCAAAGGCTAGTAAGGTATACGTTATAAAACAAATTGCATCAAATCACAAAATAGGAATCACATACACACATACGACCCCAGAGGAGGAAGCATGAAATTTAAGAATCAGACTTTTGGGACAAACCTTTTGCAAACGCCGATGACCCAAGTTTTGCGTGAGGCGTAAGCATATCTACTAGCTGTTTGAGAGCCATAACGGTCGGGCTCAAAACCCCATCACGCATTTGGGACGCAACGATTCTTTCCAACTCCTTTCGGAAGGCGGGTGACTGTAGTATTAGGGACACTCGCCCCCTCTGCTCCATTAATTTTACATCCTCCTTTATTGCTGCAGGCCGCAACAAGTGGCGTATGTACTCTGGATCATCAATATCTAAAAAATATTTAAACGAAGTTAAACCCAAACCCAGGCCTTCGAGAAACCCAGATCCCTGATGGCACAAAACGCCCGACATCCTCCACAAGAGGTAAGATCGAGGCACAAATGACTTTTGTGTAATGATCCGCTAAAACAAACAGACAATTAAAAACCAAATCATTTGACTGGATAATGCAGGATAACCGAACACTACGATTATCAGATAGCTAGCCTAAAATGTTTAAGTTGGTGTTGTTTTTTAGTTTGTATAACATGGAAATACAAAAAAACTTTCAAGATTGATCACACCCAATTTGGATGGAAACCTTAATGAACAGGTATTGTAAAATTTTACTCTTTCGGATTATTTTTTGTTTAATTCCGATTGTAATCGATTCCTCTAAAGTATATTATCTGGAATTAATTGGTTTTTATAACTCCTTGAATGTGGCTAATATCACTATACTGACACCAAACGACATTTCATTATCTTCTGATTCGGGTAATATATTAGATTATCACCGAAGTCATAGTACAATATATTTTTAGTCAAATTCATTCTCTTGACATCAATCCGATGGATACAAAAACCAAAAATGTGCAACGCAATTATCCCAGCAGTACTATTTCATATATGACTGCTGTACTGCTTGCCGATAAGACTGGCAACATTGCAAAAAAAAAAATTAAATCCAAAAATCTAGAATCCTATTATTCTTTGCAGTCCTAGTTAGACATTGATTACTGTTCTATTTGAAATTTTGACTATTTTGGGGACACAGTCGTGAATGCGAATTTAAAAAATGTTCCAAAACAGTGGTGAAAAAAATTACTTTTATCTGGTTTTATAAAATATTTAGCACCTAAATGTAAAGCTCACAAATAATTTGTTACTTAGGGTTCAAGATTAGAAATGATGACTTTTCAGACACCAGTGATGAGCACAACGAGATCAACTTCGCTTGATGTTTCGATTAAGGAATTAACAATATTGGAAGGAATACCAAAAAAACCTTTATTCGCACTTAGATATGCCTAAAGGAAACTACAATGCTTCCTCCTATCGCCTAACACAATCGATGAAATTTGATTGCGTCAAGTACGAAAACTGTCATTTTGTTCGAATGGTTTGAACCTTAATCTAATGTTACTTAGTGTGTTAGGACACAAAGACCTAGGCTCCTTTTTAAAGAAAATCATAAATGCAATTAAAACGCATTATGATCTAAATTTTTGTAGATTACTTTGTTGAGCAATATAGCGGTCTGAGAAAATGTATTTTGTTAATTAGGGCAGACATATTTCTATTTTAAGCAGATGATCACAAGGTAATCGAATAAAAAATCGTAGATAAGCAAAATTTGGAGGCGTGATACATCAAGCCAGGACAAGATAAGACTTTATTGGAATAGATCATAACTTTCGATCCCATAGACTGGGTTTAGGTCCAGAGGAGCTGAATGCTCTATGCCGTGGTCGGCATTGTGTGAAAGGAAGGGAAATGATGAACTCAGGATTGCATAAGCCCAAGGAAAGGTAATGAATGAAACGAAAGTAAAAAACAGTGTACATTAACACACGTGATATTAACGAATCAAAAATCGTCACAGCTTATAAAAATCAGATTTAGAGGGTGCTGAATTCCATCTAGAATGGCTATCAGCCTAATTCTTCATTGCTTTTGCTCAAGAACCACGGCTCCTTTTACCTTTCAGGCATACAAATTGCTCTCTTAACACCTCTTCTTGATTAAAAATCTGGAGTGTAGGGGTAAGCTATAAGATTTTGTTGGTACCAGTAACTGGTGTTGAAATGATTCGCAGCAAGTTAACCATCGTTTACCTTTGACATAGTTGCAGGTTTCCGCGTCGTTTTTCATTAACTTTGTGTCAAGCGGCATTCGTATGTTAATTTTGAGTTATGGTTTTAACAGTGTATCTAGAAGCTTTTTCAAATCACATAGCTTCTGATACATTACTACTTTAATTTGAATTTTAATTTCTGTTTAGTTCACAGTGTCGTTGCTTAACAGCTAATGTAACATTTATTACTTGAAACCTTAGGATTTAAAGCCTTTATAAAATAATTAGCAGTGTAGTATACATATAAGATTTTTTTCGTTTCATAATTTGGAAAGCAACATGCCATTTGTTTTGAAATACTACCTATAACGCGGCTTATCCAAAAGTCTTGGGGTGAATAGTTCTGTTGACCGTCGGATGGCGTTTTCGGGACTCAAAGATATTTTCGTGAAACAGAAGGTGCCTTGAATATGCCAATTTTTTGTTATTCCTATACCCTTGTGACTACTCAATTGGGGTTTTGCTTTTTTTGGTTAAGATTGCTGATCACCCTAATTTGAGCATATTCCCCTTAGTGGTGCCATTTGTTTTCATTTCCAAAGAATGAATGGCCGTTGTTTTTTTTGGATTTTTTACGTCTGATGCACTTTTGTTGTTTTTGTGGCGGTAATAAACCTAGTAATGGCATAAAAAAATTTATGCAACTCGCTTCTAAATTTCCAAATTCGACTTTCTTGGTTGCCTTACATGGTGTTCAGGGTTTGTTTTAAACATTTAAACTTGCAGTTTGGTCTGTGCGTTGTCCTTTTTTCAAGCAGGCATTAACATTTTGTGAAGTCACTTGTCTCGTTACTTTTTCTTCTGCTTCCCCACTTATCAAAATGTCAATATTTAATATCCGTATTTTTTGTAATCTCTATAAAGGCATCAATTACGCAGTGGTGCATTTGGTTATAGAATAATGTAGTTTTGTGGTTTGGGGATATATGTGGGCCACAGTGCTTTAGTTCGTCGGCGTTCATCTTCATCCGACCCGTGGTTGCATGATGACTTGTCACGGGTCGGTTCGGAAGCCGAGATGTGGTAATCCTACTCATAATTCTCAGGCCAGCGTCGCTGAAAGAGGGTCCGTTGGGGGTCCTCTTGTGTTTCAATCTTCATTTCCCATGTTAGGCTTTGGCATCATTGCCGCCTAATGACAGCCTACCCTTTTTCATGGTTGCCCTAGATTGCTCAATCATCGGGGTTCTTAACTTCTTCGCCTAAACTTTTTGCGAAATGAATGAAAGTACGTAAGGTAATGCAATCAAATAAACTCATGAATAAATCATGAAGGCTGATGAACAAAGCAATATACAGACTCAATCACTCGGAATTTTTTTTTCGCACACGTCAAGGCCAATTCACAAACACGAAATGATTTGTATTAAAATGTCACTAAACTGTGCATAATAGCTACTTCATCTCAATCACTCAATATTTAATGTCCTCATATATGAAATATTGGGTCACTTGAAAAGTTCTGTACTTAATCAAATCTGCTCCGATAACAGTTAACCTTTTGCATCAAAATAGGATTTGTAACTGACTAGTTGCTTTCTAACGAAAAGAAAGAATTTTTGGACAGATTTTTTGTTAACAATTAAAGTGCAGTATTTCCGTGTCTATTGTCCCATAACGACGGATAATATGAGGCGAATTCAAACCATTATGTCTTCCCAGTCAAGTGACTACAAAGTACCCTGTATGACCATACACAAAAGTCGTAAACTTGGCGTATAAGTTGTCGGTTTAAATTATACAATTCAAGTGCATTTTGCAAGATTTCAATAATTTGAGTTCACTCTCAATGCTTCCTCAATCTGGGCTCTGACAAACACTGGCACTTCGCGTTTCAAAGCGTTAGTTCACGGTCACGTGCTCCGCTTAATTCTCGTTCAAGGTTCGTTTTTTAAAAGTAATCAACTTGGAATTAATCTCTTTCGCCGTGAAGATATTCTGTAAGCGCTTTTTGTCCGCTAATTTGCTCTTCGGCAATTCACCAAATCTTCCTCATAATCAACATTGAATCCTCTTGTGCCGTAATCGCGAACCGGTTTTTACTGTACTGGGATTATGTGTTTTGCATCGCCCTTTAGACTTTCCGGCCAAAGAAAAAGTTTGCTCCAGAAACGACCCATTATCATTTACACAAGCAAGCTGAAGCCTCTCTAAATGCCGGTATCGATCTTCGCGAAGCCGTCAAGAAACCACCCGATGAAGAACTGAATGATTGGATAGCTGTGCATGGTATGTAAATTGCCTTTTTTTAAAAATATAATTCACTCTTAGTTGTGGACTTTTACAATCGGATAAACCTCATATACGGCACCATATGTGATAGGTGTACGGAAGAAACGTGTCCACGTATGACGGGCGGTAAAAAATTCGAGTACCATTGGCGTGACGACAATCGATACCGGAAACCAACACCGATGCCTGCCCCCTTGTACATCAGTCTCCTGATGGACTGGATTGAGGAACAGATTAATAATCCCAACATCTTTCCGACTTCCGTGGATGTTCCCTTCCCAAAGAATTATCAAAGTGTCGTGAAAAAAATTATGAGCCGCCTTTATCGCGTTTTTGTTCATGTGTACATTCACCACTTTGATCGACTGGTCGAAATCTCAGCGGATGCGCACGTCAATATCTGCTATAAGCATTTTTACTACTTCGTTACCTATTTTGATCTCATCGATCCAAAGGAGCTAGCTCCCCTCGTAAGTTATTTTTGTTCGTTGTGTGGCCTTAAATTCAAAGTCTTAAGTATGTGTGTTTTCTGTGTTGGATTTTCAACATATGCCTGCTATCATGTATGCCTTCAAATTGAATATCGCTTACGTCTCGTTTCTTGACAGGCTAATTACCGCCACATTTTAATGGATCCGGGATTGCTCTGGCGAGGGGTTCACTGGGCGGTTATTAAGGACATTGAAGTCGGTGTTAGCGGCAATTTGCTTGAATTTAGGTGATGGGTGCTTGAGGCAGGACTAGTACCACAACTTATTGAAACGTGTAGTCTTTTAAGTGCTGCCTTATTACCGAATCCCAGAGGTGGGACTTTTAACAATGCTGATGGCATAATTGAACTTTTGCACAAGCCCGATCAGTTTATGTTAGACGCCTTTGTCGTTTTGGTTGTGTGTAGTCCTTTCCAAACGCACAGGTGAGCCACGTGCCCACAGCCGTGTTAGAGACACTGCAACCCACCCACGCATCAGTGGGTAACCTAAGGCGCCCAGAAATTGACCCTACTCACACGTCGTTGGGTCGCACCGACTACAGACTGCAACCACGTGCCTAATGGCTTTTCCATATGTCATTTCAGGCATCGAACCAGTATGCTGTTCTTCTGGTCCTTGGCAATTCCAGTATTGCGCAGGCTTGTACTGCGGTGTGCTGTCGAACTGCTTATTTGTTCTGTGGCAGACTCTTGAGTTGTTGGGCATTGTGACTGGGGTCTTTAATGTGTCGGCTGACCGCTACTACCTCTACTAGGCCGCCTGGGTCGGCTGAGTAGATTGTAGTCATTCGCAACGGTGTATTGTCCTTGACTTATTAGATGCTAACGTGGTGTTGGTCGTGTCTTTCTAGCTGACTTAAACAGGCTAAATTGCTAGTAAAAAGCATTATTGGGGCTACTTCGTATAAGTGAATGTGCATAGGTCTTTCAAATGGCATATAACTGCATCATGTTTTCTTTGCTTAATGACTTGGAGTACTTCTAGACAGGCCTATATGATGAGAGAAGCCTTCTTGTTATTAGAAGCTGTTTCTTTGACAGCTACTTATCTAGCCTGTCACAGAAATAATAAACTGCTAGTGAATTCATGGACAGACGAACGTTAAAGGCCATCAAATTTAAGCTTTTCATCAACTATTTTTCTGCCATGAAATCTCTCCAAATTTATTATACTGCCATCTGCTTGTGCTATAACTGCTTCACCTTAGCATTTAAGCATACTCTATGGTCTGTTTGCGGTTGTATCTACCAACTGTTGAGGCAATCATTTCTGTGTCACTTGTCCAGTACCCCTCTTTACCGGATTGCCGGAACCGTTAGCGCCCACAACTTGTTTTACCTTAGGCTCTTGTATCATCAGAGATCAGTTTTCACAGACCAATCACAGCATGGCGTTTGTGGGTAGTAAGACGACCGATTGTTGACTCGGGTTTATCGCAATGAGGCTCAGCAGTTTTCCTTCAAGTTGGTTGGAAATGTCCGTTAGTGTATTTACAAATCGAAATCCTGCATCAAATTAATCCCTAGTGGGTGAGTTGCATCTTTTGATTGTGGTGAAGGGGGTTTTGGGTGATTTAAACTCTACCCATAGTTCTTTCTTTCTCCTGCCTTGGCGTGATATTCGGTCGAATGTGGAATTGCGTTCCTTTTGCTCTTCATCCCATGGAAGGCTAAGTAGGTTTTAGTATGTTTCCGAAACTTACACAATATTGTCTGGCTTTATTTTATGCATTCAGTCAATAAGAAATCTCATTGAAGCGTTGGATACCTGCTTGTGTGCTTAACAAAGTTTCTAGCTGCGACATGTCTGGGGTATAACTCATTCAATTTCCTGTGCATGCAAATCAATGTAAATCAAGGTATAGGGACCCTAGTACTCTGTCCTATCTTGACCAATATGTGAGTACGAACGCGGTAACTTAGATCCGGCATTATAGGACGTATAAAGACGTTCTCGCAAGTTTTAGTGGTTCAACTGATTGTACATAAACAGACACTGAGGAATTGGATTTTTTTAAGGGACAAACCACCCGACTTTTTACATCATGTTACAACATCTGCTTTGCGACGTATATTCTAGTCGACGCATATATTCTTTACGATCTCAACAGATTGAAATGTTAAAAGATCATTTTCTTTTTTGTGCCCTTGTAATGCACTGCTTCACCGAAGCATCTCCACTAGTCGTCGATTTTTCAATTGGTGCTTGGAGCCACGATTGACGGTTTGACACAATGCATGTTTTGGATGTGCTGCAATCTGAACTGTGTGTATGTATGGTCGTTTTGGTGCTGCTCCCAAGACTTGCTGAAGTGGTTAACAATTTTTTTTTGTTTGTATCAATTTTTGTTTATTTTTTAGCGCGAATTGACGGACAGAATATGCAACTGAGTCTGTATTAGACCCAATCACATTCCAAATGGAGTTTCCTCAATTGCATCCTTATCCGACGAAAACGATGGGAAATCAGAGCAACCGCACGCCTCATGATACTTATTTTTGTACCTACAGGTATATCCACTCATACGCAGCCCAGCACATCGTTTTTTGCTTCCTGTCTGTCGTGGCACACGTTCTTTTCCCAAGGAAATCCTTGCTTGGAAATAATGAAACGAAGGAGGAAAATGAATAAGCACCCTGGTTTATTAATAAAATCTCTAAACAGCATTTTACTAAAACGTTATCCCGGGAATGTTTGACACCTAATTATAGTCGAGTCTCTTTTGCCGGATTAAGCTCAAATCATAGGCAAAATACTGAGGGCTTCAATTGCAGGATTTCAATTCGAATGACGGTCGTAAGGGCTGTCATCCTCCAAATGTCTGAATTTTGTGAGGTTAGCAAAATTCTGCCATCGCGATTTGCTTGTTTACTTCAAAAGTGCTATCTGTAAATTTGGTGTGTTGTACTTTTCTCTGAACCCAGTTTTTTTTCGGAAGAAAGTAAGTATGCTTCACATTGCTTTAAACACTTTAATTTATAGCTGGTAAATCGTTCAGTAATGGGGCTGCCAATTGTGTTCACTAGAACTAGTTATTCGTTTATTAAATTTGGTTGTGCTATGAAGTTGTCCTTAGTGTTCTCTACATGTAATTTTCGTAAATATCGATCAAGCGGTTAGTATTTTATTTGCCCTTACGTTTTAGTAGGCTAAATTTGGATCAATCCAATTGCGTCCTGATTTATAATTAGTGAAACTTCTCTGTGTTGACAATATCATGAAATCAGGTGCTCTAAAGTCTATCTTGAAATCGAGGCCTTCGTCAAAGCTTAGTGGCATAATTGGAGAAATGTGTATGGGTCTAGGAAGTAATGTATCCTAGTAGCCTTTCATCAGGAGTGTACCTGAGACTACGCGACTTAGAATCCAATCTGGCCCGTTTCATCAAAAACTTGTCTTCCTGTTATGTTTGCTTCAACGGAGTTCAAATTACGACTGTCAGGTTTTAGCAAAAAAACTATGTGGGGGCAACATTCGCATATCATCCTCAAAACAACGATCTTGGTGGCTGTTGATTGTAACTTATTCCAACGTTCTTGTTCAAATAAGAGGTCTGCAGTCTCCCGTCATAGTTGATGTCTCGGTGCAAACTTAAATGACCGGCTCAAAACCGGGGCTGCCGGAATCCTCAATTTGTAGATCTCCCCAATTGATCACGGGCCACATGAGGTACATAACGGATAGTTTGCCAACCAATCGTGTTCTGGTAGATTAGTACATTTTTAGGTTTCTGAATGATAAGCTGCGTAGTGGAAGCGGGAAGGCAGGTGTTGACAGACGGGTTCGTGATCAGACGTCACACTATTGATGCGAGCCTGATAGAAACCCAAGTGTAGTGCCCAGGTGTCAGCAGAGGCGGTGGGCGTGAACTCATACGCTTCTTTGCGAAGTGATCCTTGTGGATAAGATAACGTTTCTTAGGTTTTACAAGAGCGATGTGTTGCAGAATTGAGCGCTTTTTTAAAGGCCAGAAATCCGTGAGTGCCCCGGAGAAGAATCATTTAAGAAATCGAATAATCTGCCCCTCATTCTAATGAGTAAGGCACTGGCGCACGTGACTGTAATTTGGTCCAACATCTACTTACATGTGGAAGCAGTCTGGCAACCCATCTTGACTGATGTGTTAATCTCAATGAGTGGAGTCGGTTGGTTGACACTTGGCTTTAAATTAAAACGAGCTACGTCACAGGTCTGAGACTGGGTGCTCACTCATGTGGTACATCTTGTAAACTATATTTTTTTGCCAAACCGTGATTTTATTCTTAGAATATACCGAGATAGGTTAAGTAAATAACAGCGAATACAGTTTTAATTATTCGGTATTTCAGGTTTGAAAGTAGATAAGTATTCTGAGAAGAGTAAGCACCCGTCAATGGTGTGCACACTAGACATGTAATTACCAAGGTTACGACACGAACTCGGGTTTATCTCTTGAATTGCCGTTGCAACACCAATTCTTGTTGGCATGTTCGTAAAAGTGAACTCAAGTTGGTCGATTGAAAAACGCCCAACCAATAAAACCACTGGAGGGAATGATCATCTCTCAAGGCTTGGTTTCGTAATGCACGCAATTCAGCGGATGTAGACCCATAAGATGTTTGAGGTTACTCCTGGGCTTCTCGCCGGGCCTCGTATTGAAGCCTGACACCAAACAGGGGGTCAGTACATGCAACAGGCTTTACTATTTCCAGTGAATGAAAATTGGCTCCATATCGCATCAGTCACTTTGCGTCACCATTACGAGAAAGTCAGGGTTTAGGGGCAAGAAGAGGAAGCAAACCCTAATCAAGTCCACTTGAAGTCTTTGATTAGCGTTGAAGGAATGGCGGCAGAGGGAGGGGTTAAAGAACCACACTGGATCGGCAAATTCGCTTGTAGCTGAACGGAAAGTCGCTCCAAAACTACGTTTACTCACATTTTGGGGAGAAATAACTTGGATCCGAATTACCTTGATCCCACCACAATTAACTATCACGTGAAACACCAAATAAGGGAGCAAATCTCCAATTGTTGGGTTTCAGTCTCCTGGTAAATATTGGCGGCGAAATCTCAATTGTAGTGTCTCAATGAGAAAAGAACTCACTTCGCAAGCTTAATTTGTGTTGGTAACAAGAAAACGATGACTAAAGTTTGATAAAATTGCTTGCTTTTCTGAGAGCATCGAGGTGTCAACTGCGCCCGCAAAACCTCAGGGACTGACACTCCTCCGATGGATGAGCCAGCCGTGGTGAGTGGTGTCTAAGCGGCGCCATCTTTAATCGGTCGATATCGTGATAAATTGTCTAACGAGTGATTCTATGCTGTACAGCAGTTGAGTCATCGTGTTTAGACTTGTCAGAAGGAACAACTTAAAGCGCAACACTAACAGTAAACGTGTTTGTGGCTATATAAGTGATAATATCTAGCTGGTCTTTAAGCTATTGCAACGTAATTCTTTGGGGTCAGATCGTTAAGTAATCCAAAACCGCCGAAACAAGTGGTAATTTTCTAATTGTTCGACTCGAAATCGAATTACTTTTCCTTATGAGTGATTGAAAAGGAGGTTGTCGTAGGTAAAGTGAGTGTGAAAGTGTTTGATACGGGCCGCGTTTATTTAAATTAGCTACTTGGACAAAAATTGTTGCCAAATCTAACTACCATCAGAGTCGTGTACTGGTGGTGACTTGCTATTTCCAGGGCCAGGATAGACCGTGGTGATGTGCCTCGCGGGCGCACAGGATGCCAGCGCCCACGCCACTCCGCTGCGTCACTCGCTCCGGCTGCCTATGCGGCGTGCGTGCCACGTGTGTCGCCATGTTTACGGAACCCGGGCCCGGACCGGTCATACTAGTGGGACGAGAGGAGGCAGTTTTCAACAGGCTCCAACCATCATTGTTAGTTCTAGAATAACATGGCATGCCTCTGATCGATACTGAGAAACCATTCCAAAATTACAATTATTAAGCATAATACAATTTCAATGTTTTAGCGATTATCAAGCTAAAAGTAAAGTACATAGTAAATAACTAAACAGTATGTTCAGGTTAATGATCAACTGCGCGCATCAGGAGTCTGGTCTTAACAATTCACACTTCACTGAAGTCGAAAATGTTTTGAACACTTTTAAAGAACAGCCTCTCAAAGTCAAATCATTTGTCGTCTTTTACAGATAGAATTCCATGCTTTTCTCGCCGATATATGGTAGCTCCACGGTTTATCGAAAACTTGATTTTCTCATTTCCACCAGCCAGCATAAAGTAGTAGACAGAAGTTGGGATATGTCTGATTATAGACGGGTCGTATTTACTTACTTCAAATCACATTTTTCAGAAATCGACTAATCATCCATGCAAGAAATCGGGAGGAACAGTATTATAGAAATCTGGAGAGTTGAAATATTATGTTATTCGCCTTTTCCTTGAACATACTAATGCGCCTTTTCCTTCGATTACTTGATATTTCCTGTTTTCCTCATAGCTAGCGGTTGGGTTTTTAAAGCTAATGGGTTAGCTAGGCATCTGGGTTAATGATTCTGTCAATGGTTCATGCCAACACATTTTTTTCAAAATTTGTGCTAATAATTATGCGGCTGAAAATGATTAAAGACGCCACTGTTACTATTTAAACTTGATTTAATACAGCAATAGAGTACTTATGACAGTAAACTCATGAACGAATCAGTCAGAAAAAAAGTTGTTTTTAAGGATCGCAAAATCTACTAGTCCAGAGAAATAAGCTCCCAAAGAAAAGTGAATGCCTCCTCTTGCACCCTCCAAGAATAGGCGAGCGTTTTTCAGCATCAATGAATGTCAGGCTACGATGCAGATTTGGGGCCACAGGCCATTGTCATCAACTAGCTCGTGCCCACAATACAAACAAGCGACATTTTAGTAATTTATGCGGTACTTGGAGATGGAAAATATTAAAATTAGGGGAAGGGTCAGAAAAAGCAATTATGAATTTCAAAAGTACTTTCAGCCTTTCAACAAGTCTGCAGTAAAGGACAACACGGCAGACACTGCTTGTATAAAACAAATTATATCAAAAGCTTGGAAGTTTTGCAGAATGTTTTCTGTATTTACAATCTACATTCGTTTTTACTACATTCGCGGGACACACCAAATACCAAGTGATAGCGCTAATTGGCTTCTAGCACTGGGAATCATTATTATGCGCATTAAAAATACGAAGTAATTATACGTTTTGGAATGAAACCTGACTTTAATTGTCATAGTGACCGTTATTTCATTGGTATCCAACTCAGGAGTTACCGACCCTAAGCTTTACGTGGAAAGGGACTGCGTTTACTTATCTGTGATATTATCATTGACTTGTGCGAGTGTCGTCGGTGAGGTACAAATGAAAATCGTTAACGAGTTCAATGACTAATGCTCCCTCACTTTGTCTACCGTCAAATTAGCTTGTGGAATTTTTCTGGTATCGCACAACGCGCGATTATAAAGGTAGTGGGGAAGTTAAAACTCGATTAGTGAGTAAATTGTGCTTAGAGGGAGCTTTGTTAAGTCATAACGGGTAACTGCCGACCAAACGAAGCAGAAAACAGTCGCTACTTGTATGATCTAGGTAGGGGTTTGTTCGAGGTAGGAGCATATCTACACAAGATCTTATTCACTAATGCCGTGATTTGGCATAACGGTAGTAGTAGCGCTACCAACTGCAAGATGTAAATCAATGCATGGAACTTATAAACTTTCATGAGTAGAAGCAAGCCGAGTGTATTTTATACACGCACGATCGCCGTTTACAGTGAATCAAGAAAAAAGTCATTTAAAATCTAGCCAACTGCCCCCGAAGAAGGAGGTGCTAGCAGCAACTATTTGAACATTTACCCAGTGATCACATTAAGTAGGATAAAAACATCGATGTCCAAAAATGCCAGACAGTTTACCGATAATGCTTGCCGGTTGACACGAGGCCACGAAGCCTTAGCCATCAGGCAAATCCTTAACATCCACAGCCTTAATTGACGGTGTTTGGTCCAAATGCCACCTGATGTATGGGTTTTTTAGTCAAACCAGCAAATTAAAAGAATTTTGTTGCTCTGGATAATGCAACCTCGTTCAGCAACAACAGATCAAAATAGATAACTGTCATTTCACTAGATTTAATTCAAAATGATCAGTTTGCCTCATTTTGTGTAATTAGTTTTAAGTCCTTTAGACAAGTTTCTAGTTACCTGTTGGTCATATTAAAAAGTTCTACTTTACTGTGTGAGCTACCCAATAATCAGAGATCTAAACTTCAATTTTGCCACTGAGGCGCTTCTTGCAAATGACCAAAAAACGCTGATCATCACTGATTCATGCAATAATTCCAATTTTTAATAAGTTGGATAATGTTTCTGGCAGTAAATTTAATAAGTCCTAGAAATCCCTTTGATGATGAAGTGCATTGACATGCAGCAACCACAGAATGCAACCAAAATCTTGACACAGTACTACGTACAGGTGTGAGATTATCTGCACCACATGATATCACAAAAAGAGAATGGTTGGTGGTGAAGTAAATTATCGCCTGTAAAGGCCTCAAGAATTAATGGCCGACATCAATCCTCCGTATAATAAACTCGACCCCTGTCACCACTGCTCCCTACTTTCATAGGCAACCAGCTTGTCACAAATGCACCTAAATGCGGTTCTACTGCTATAGCTCATTCTTCTGATTTCACCTGTCAAAAATACGCCTGTTGTGGAGAGTTTAAGTCTTTCTTGTGTTTGCGAGGCTGTTCTCTTTCATGAGGGCATTCCCAGCAAGTTATTCGTAAGCCCCATTTACAGGGACAACGGTGGTACATATGGCAAATTTCTCATGACCACCAGATATGAACGTCTTAACCAAACAGAGAGTACCAATCGTTGTCGCAGCGGTTTCGGTAAGTTCGGAGGGATTTTGCAACTCTGTAGTTACCGAAGGCTTAAACATGTGAGAACGTGTTTCCCGAAGTTGCAAAAGGAAAGATAGATCTCACCCCAGTTTTAATACGAACACGCAGTACAGACGTTTGCGTAATGACACTTGCTCAAAAGAATGGCCGTTAAACTTCCGGGTAGTTCGCCTTTATTTTCATCGGATTCACCCAGCAGAATCTTCAGAAAGAAAAAAAGGGAAACCCGCAAAACGCCAATTAATTCATTTACTGTGTGGAGCCTTTCTAGCAAGTATTTAGCATCTATCAACACGACATATTCACCCGTACCAAAAAATTCCGTGAGTGTGAAGTATCTAAAAGTCTTGACTTTGCAATAATGGCAAAACTAAGACAAAATGTGGCCACAACACTTAGCTATCAAAGTGACAGTGGGAACATTCCAGCACGTCTACGTAGAGTGAGGCTTTTTAGGGGGCATGTCTTGGGCATTACTAGTTCACGTACCAGAGCTGGGAAATTTCTTCTCGTCCTTACTATTTCGCCACAGCCGGTCACCAGATTGGCCCCTGGTATCAATTCCTGATTTTGCGAAAATTAAGCATATTTACCAATCTCAAAGCATAGGGATGAGCATTGCAATTCATTTGAGTTCTCTTATTTGTAGAAACCTACAATAGCGTAGGAGATCATGATTGCCGAGTAAACATTGACTTCAACTTTGCAACTCAAGAGCTCTCTATTTTTACTTCCCTAGGGAAGAATTCTGGTTAGCCCTGACATCCGACATAACTGGCCTAAAATTAACGTCAAATGTAAAATGGCACATAAATAATATTCTGCCATAAGCAGAAATTTACTTTTCACAAGACACTGAACTAACATTCCGCCAGAAAATTTTTTGGTTTGATAGCCGTGTAATGAATATCTGAGATGTGTAGCGAATGAAGCGATAATGGCTGCCCTAGTATTTATTCAACCGCTAATCGTGCATGGAGGAAATTAATTAAATGTAATTTTTTTGGCAAAGGCCAGATTTTGAGAGAATTTCCATGCCTTTTATAAAAAAAGCCATGTAACAAAAAACTTGAAATGTTCAAAATGTCCTACAGGAGTGAACTGTGTGTGAGTTAAATAAATGTCTGTTGACAGAATCTGGCTCCCAGGGTTGTATCAAGCAACACAATCTGAACGCATGCTATCAAATTCCTGGACAACTCAGACATGTGAGTTAAAACTAGAATATTTTTACTTTTACTTTTCAATGCCCTCGCAACATCTGCTTGGACATCAGTCTTGAGGGCATGTTTACGAGTCAAGCGCCCTACACCCAAAGGCAGCGAAAAATTGAAATGGACACAATGCAACTAAGCAAAACAGACTCCATGAGCCAAAGTAAGTAGCCTGTTTGCTTAAAGACGACCGTATCCCTTTTCCTTCTCTGGACCCGTTAAAGTGCTAAGAACGCCGGTCATAAACATCGGCTTTTAGTCTTATTTCTCACCGATTGTTCTCTAAAAAACACTTTTCATTGCTCAAAACGCTTCATGCGCATTGATAAGAGAGCAACTATGCTGTCCTTGCAGGGAAGAAAGGTTTACGGTCATTCTAAATCAAAAGCGGAACTTGCAATTCGAAGTTGAAGTTGAGATGGCGAGGGTCTGGCTATTACCACCACCAAAGATTTAAAAAGAGGCACAACTCGACAGGCGAGTTTCAGGCGACAGCAGAGTGTAATGAAGCCAGGTTCCGGGAAACCTTCCACTCCGACATATTTTAAAGTTGTATTACTGAAGAAATTCGGAGGCTTTATTTACCGTCACCGCGTAGTAAATGATCAATGAGATGATCCTCGAAGTCACGTGGAGAGAAAAATTTGCTTCCACAAAGAAAGCATGCAAAATTTGGCCCGTATTGACTGGTCTCTGGTTTGTGGGCATTTATGTCCATCTGAAGAATGCTTTCGATGCTGAAGGAAGAAGCTTTCGGTGTCCCCACAGAAACGCCTATTTTGGGGTTGCTGCACACGAA